GAACCGTTACCTAGTTTCAGCATTCGTTGAAGTAGTCTGCCAACGGCTGTTGCTTGTTTTCCTTCGGTCTCGTTTGTGAAGCGACGCATCTTTCACAGTAACCATTAACACTTGCTGCTGCCTTGTCTTCGAGAGGCATTGCCGTTCATTTGCCTGACTGTTCTTACTTTCTCTGAGTGTTTTCGATCGAGTGATTCGTTCGACTTCATGAGTTCCATTTCTACAGCTTCGGTGTATGCAACTTTCTAATTTTCTGCCCCTTAATCGCGTATGTTCGTTGATATTAACTTCGGAGGATTTTCTGTAAGCCTAAGATCTTCCAGATACCTAAGCTGTTTGCAGGAAAGGTGTAAAATTCTTTGATAAAATACGTGATCACAATGATAGGTACATACTTCAACTGCTACAAGCTTGACATCGTGACTTTAGATTTCAGGCGTCAGGTTTTCAAAGTTCCTTAAGTAAATAAGCTAACTTTTCGTACTTGGCTTTATTTGATAAGTTCGGAGATGAATTTAGAAAAATCTGTTATGCGTGGATCATGGATAACAGCACAGTGAGAGAAAATACTTTATGTATGCGAGTTTGAACCTTTATTCTGTTCCCTGTTGCTTGGGAAAGTGGCATATTAATTCATCTGAAATTGTTTGAGTCCAATTTTTTTGTCGGTTTTTCACCAAGTTTTCATTTGAAATGCGTTCGTTCACACCGCATGATTGTTGGAGGAAGCCTTGAAACCATCCATGTGCTCGTGTACCCCTTCGAAAATAGCAACGAAAATAGTTTTGGCCGATAGAGGCTTTAGGTCGTTCAGTCTAGCTTGTTTCACAAAAAATCTTCAAAGTTCAGTAACAGTTTCTACAGTAAACAGCGGGACCATACGTTCTGAAATCATCTGTTTTAGTTGGGTGACTTTACCATCAAACACATCATTGTTTCGGTGCAGCTAAGTGATAGAGGGATTTGGTGAAGGCTATATGCGTATTTGCAAAGCTAATTTGAAGGGTGACACGTTTTTTAATTAGTGCAGCTGCTGGGTTAAGCTAAGTTCGATGCGGTCTGAGAAAGTGTGTTCAGAATTTGACAGTCGTTAGCGCAAATATGATTGATGTCTTGTTGATAGATTCTTAATTCAGAATCGGCGTTTTCGGCAAGCAGTACTAGTCACTGTCAAATCAGAAAAGGTGCTTATTTTACCACTGCTTCACTCTGATGATTACCAGGATCGCTTGGTAAAAGCGCTGGTTCGCTGATCGAACTTTTAAGGACATGTAATATCAGGCATGTCTGGGGCTGTTTCCAGTAAATCCCGAAAACGTGGTTAATAAAATTACGGCACGGAATCAAAATCCCTTCGATAGAAGAAAGACTTTTCACAAACTTTAATTGAAGAAACTAACAGTTCGGCTAAGATGTTGGCCCAAACATAAAACAATGAATCATGGAAACAAGATAAAAAAGTGCGTAGAAAGAAGTTTGCGGTGATCCACTAAAAACGAAGTAGTGGTCATGTTAAGCAAGCGGTTTAGGTATTGCGAACAAACGCCTGTCGGTTTCATTGACCCAGTCGACCCTCGGGTAGTAAAGAGGTAGGCAGCAAAGATAGGAACGGAGAAAGCCTTGAAATGCAAGAGCTCTAAAGAAGTCAGTACCGCTGAACGATCACGATAGCCTCATAACTGACTCCGCCATCAAGATATTGATATTCGAGTTTACGCAGAGCATAAGTTCACTTTCTTTTTTCGATCTGTAACAAAATTTTTACCCCGTCTTTCTGTAGTTCATAAATTTTTCGCTTCTTGCGTTTGCAGTTCGACGCAGTTTAGCGATTAAACTTGTTTCGTAGTTTTAATCGATAACGCAATTTAACCAGTTTAACGCAGCATTAACCGGAACATTGTACATTCCTTTATAGTTTCCATCGTCTTTAATAATTTTCTGCAGCACGGCGATGCATCGATTATTTATCTTTTTCGTGATCTTCTGTTTAGTGTAGCTTCATCGAAAGAATGTCTTATATGCAGTATGGCGCTTATGCTGCAGTTGACATAGATGAATTGTGGACTAAGCTGAACAGAGGCTCTTGCACAAACGGATCGTTCTCTGTTCTTTCTGATCCTCTAAGTTTTTCAAACCCTCACATATGCTCAATATAAATATTCTTCGCAAATGCCTTCATTGAGCCAAGATAGCTCAGGCACCTGAGCCCCGTATTCACAATCGAAAGATCGTGGGATCGAATTCTAGCCGGTTCATTCTCTTTTCATCATTATGAGGTAGATAAACGAGTGCCGCTTCGTATAAGGATCTTAATAGCCGAGCCACAACTCCGAGTATTGTCTTACAGAGAAAAATAACGCACCCATCTGATGCTGTAGAAACGGATGTCAGCGCCGTGCCTAAGTCTTTGCAGAAAGCGTCCCACAAGTGAATTGTGGGAATGATTATGAACTTTCCTTCCTATTTCCTTTTACATTTATTGAGATTGCATCATATCATTAGCACTGACGTTCATACGTAGTTGTACGTTATGTAGAAACTTATCTTCAGTGCCTGTGTTGTTAGCTAGCTAAAAGAATTTGATTTCAGCACCGAGCGTTGGGGAAGTCGTTATTCGATGAAGTATGTCGTCATCTGAACCTTCTTGAATGCGATTATTTCGGCCTCGAATTTCGTGACTTTATGGGAGAGAGGGTAAGATATTTAACTGTTCTAGCTTTAGTTTGGTTTAAGTAATTTTGTTATCAGTGATTACTGCGTCTAACCATTGATATTTCAGCTACCGTTGATAGCATTAACCGTTGATATTTCAGCTACCTGCAAATACATCAGTTTCTGTTCAGATTCCTTGGTTTGGAAACTAACACATATGACTGTCTCTGATTTAAAATAGCCAGATTTCTTGACAGTGGAGGTTAACATCACCGTGTTAACTCATTTTGGACTGCTGTAAAATTAAATTCAAGAAGGCTAAAACTACAATAAAAAATTTTCGCTGTTTTTCATGATTCGTCAAAACAGAGGGTGCAAATTATAGTGAAATAAAAAATTATCGGTCTGAGTATTTCAAAATTGTCATATCCTATGATATGTTGGAAAACTGTTTGAAGGTACAAGTACTTGAAATGCCACCGAGGTTATTCTACGAAATTGAAAATGTTAATACGTGTGAAATCGTGAGCTCATTCGCTGACTTCAAAGAACTGAGAATTGCTCGGTTTCGCAGGAGTAGCATATAGCTACAAGTTTAAACAGATGGAGACCGATTAGTGATCGGACATTCTGGTCTACGACCGATCCTCACGTCAACTAAAATTGTGTCCTCAGGCCAAAGTATGTGGCTAATATTCTTTAGCGCCACACGGATATCGCACTGCCAGCGGTTGTATTTCCCAGGCACATTGTCAGATGACATAATAGCGAAGATGAAAGATCTTCATACCTGTTTCAACAAAAATCAACGGAAAACGATACGCAGGTATGTTATTTTTCAATTTCACGACGCGACGAAAATCCTACATCGCTTGGGTGATATTCTGTCTCAGATGACAGGAAAACCAGTTCGCTGCGTTACCCTTGCATCGTGAACTAACTTGTACCGTCTGATGCCTAGGAGCTCCTCTGAAGCGCACGCGGAATGCCTTTGGTACTTTGGAATTGATTTCGGCAGGGTGCTTGCCAGTGCGAAAATATAATGATGACAAAGCAGAATAATGGCGAGCAAGCTCATTACGGCTGCTCGAGGTAGCAAGCAAATAATACCGATCGACGCAGTACTAAAAGCTGCACATTGTTGGACAGCATCAGTTTAGGCAAACAGAGCTGTTAAGCTTACCACACTCTGGGTGACGATGTCGAAAACAACAAAAATCTCTAAGCACATAGAAAATCATGTGACATGTATTTTACGAAAAAACAGATTATTTGCATTTAAGCACAGCTTCATGCCACAATTGTTAAGATCGTTAGGACCGTTCTTCCTAGTCACTTCTGTCTGCTTTGAAGTCTCTGTTTTGACATATGCATTGAAATCGCACATCAGAATGATGGATTACGTAGCTGGTACATCGTACAGAGCGCCTTCTATTTCATCCAGAAAGTGTGCTATGCTTCTTTGGTTAAACCTGTAGCAAGGCCAAAACTTTCGACTATTTCAACCTAAGTCAGAACACTCACTTCCATTCACTTATTCTGTCAGCCAGATTGGGTTCTGCTAGTGTACCAGCACCGGCCTGAACGCGGGTCATGGGGTCGACACCCGAGTAGAATAGCTTCTGGACGCAGAAGTTTAGAATTCCAGAGCTCTGGCACTTTGTGGGGGAGTGTCAAGCTATCCAACTCTCCACCTTTCCTCACCAGCTAGTTCCCTTTCTTTCATTCTGAATGAAGAGATTTTCCAGTTTGCGACTGTGAACTCTCACTGTCGGCACCGTTCCGGGGACCTTTTCTGAATTGCTATAATGGCACGGCACGGCTCTCCTTCTATGTTCAGAACGGGTAGCGACTCTGTTGACTGGTGCCTTCGTAATGTTGGCATAGATCTGCGCAAATATCACGGTGTTGCGACACCCCTAACTGCCGGAAGTCGTGAAACAAGTTTAAATTTCCGACTTTTCACAGTCTGCCTCAGTTGCTCAACAATCTTCGCGGCCATATTGATAATCCAGGAGAAGACTGACCCGGTATAACATTCGATAGCGTTTGTACGATAAGGGGTAGGTGACTGAATTTTATGCGAGACTTCGTCACGGTCCCAAACACTCCTTACTCATTCGGGCTTGAGACAGATGAAGACGGAGCTAAGCACCTACCATAAACGGCCCTTTTCTCTACATTTGACAGTATCGGTAATTTTGTGCTGTTGCCCAATTTATGACAGTTGTAACGCTGGCAAAAGTGATTGAACTAGTGTTTGCTCGTACCAAAGAGATCCTCGTGATGACGTCGCCATCCGTATCGTAACATCTGTCTTCACGTCGGTGCCGTCGCCTTCGTCAGGAATTCTCCATGGCGCTGCCATTGTCCATCTCCATGTTAATATTACTGTCCTCGTTTTCATGAGGACTTGTATCTTACGACAGATCCATCATGTTGATTTAATGTAGTCGTAATCAGCTTAAGGTGATCGATCTTTCGTAAAGCGACCTGCGATTGTTTATTTTTAAGACCGTAAGCCAGTACATGTGGTTCATTTACAGATTCATTTGCAGTGCCCCTTCTTTTTGTCAGGTCTCGCAGGCGGCTGCTTTAAGGTCTGTCACTGATCTAAGTTCTCCGTTAGTCCGATAAGTTCTATTTGCTGGATTGCAAGGATCGATAGTTCGAGATCCTGCAAACGATCGGGTGGTCTGGTTGCAGCTTTTGTTCTGTTGAAATGCAACTACTGAAGAACTGCGTTTTTCCAGAATAGCAAGTTCGTGGTCTGCCAGTGGGTTGCGTTCCATGTGCCATTGTCAAGAACGTTTGCCTTACGAATCTGTTACGAAAGTCTGCCTTACGAATGTGGTATCTGCCTCACGTATCCGAACCATGGCAGTTGTTATATTTAACTTGAAGAATGTGTGGTTCACAACTGATGATATTTACAAATTTTCGGGCTTAGAATCTTGTCTAGTCTGGTCTTGACAGCAGTCCTTTGAAGAAACCTCATTTCTGTCTTTTGTATTCAGAGTTGTACTCTTGAAGTCTGTAGCCAACATTTATGGCCAACCTTCGACAGACTTGAAGACAGATATCGTTCTGTAGCGGTTGAGCTACTGTTTTCCTCTCACAGATTGGTTTAGCTTTTGCGCTACTGGCTTGCCTTGCCGATTTATTTTTCTGTTTTCTTATCCTGCTTGTCATGAACGCTACGCATTTCGTAAGCGGATTTTCCCTCACGATACTTAAACTGCTCCATTTGTTCCAGTTGCGCTTGTTCAACTTAGAACACAATGAGTGATTTTTCCAGAGAGAGCAAAAGCTTCGATTTTGTTAGACCGATTTTCATCTTTCTCATGGCATGTCGCAGCAGTGCACTCTGGCTCACGTTGAACGTCACCATTTATGAAGTTAACGTGACAGTTTATCGGCATACTTTGTCCTGCCAAACCTGTCCAGTCGTGACGTTCCAGCACATTAAAATTATGAACAGCAGAGAAAATAGCTCACGCCTTTGGCGGGACCAACATCACTTTGGCAGGCTCCATCTTCTTCCTATTACTTTGAACAGTTCTATGAAGTTGTTATATCACCGTTGGCTGGCTATCTATGCTTTATTTCTGCGGGACTTTGTATGGCATCGTTTAGGCACTCCAGAAAAATATGATGGCAGCTCGAATTTATACGTTGGTCTAAGGACTTGGTCAGTTTCTTCGTCCCGCTCAGTTCCATCTTGTGAATTATTGCTGTGGCATAGTGCGATGCTTTTATGAACTAGAGAATAATGAATGAATTGCCGAATTGCGTTGAATCAGTGGTGAACGAACCAGTTGCGATTTCACCGATCGTTTCATAGTGTGATAATTTTCTTAAACGGATGTTGCCCTCAGACTATGTATGAAACGTTTTTGTCAGCGTTGCTAAAGTAGTTTATAAACACACACGCCATTCACTGCGAATCAGGATAACTTTTTTGAAGCTGCATGCAAGTCGGTGAATCTCTGTGGCTAATTGACATGATTTTCAGTGTTGGCTGGAAAAGGAAAAGTCGATTCTGAAGCAGATCACAAATGCCAAGTCTGACGCCAGGTTCTACTTCCTTGTCAAGTTCTGTCCAGCATGCCCCGCTGATCTAGAAGAGGAATATACGCGGTATAGACATATCATATTTGTCCTTTCTAATTCGTTTCATTTATAGTTACTTGTTTGCTCTACAAATAAAGAGGGATCTAGCCAACGGTCTGTTTATTTGTAACGAAAATACGGCTGCTCTAATGGCCTCCTATATCGTACAGTGTGAGTAATTACTTATCATTTTTATCTCATTAAAAGTTTTCTCGCTTGGCGAGCGATGTGCTCTTACGCACTAATAAAATGGCACTGACAAATGTCGCCGTTTGTTAAGGACGTAGTAGATGATAAAAGTCATTACTCTACTAACCATTTCATGTAAACAGCAAGTGTGGTCTCGTCAGTTCAATGAATTATTTGCCTAGATGTGCAACTGAAAGTTTATTTCGCTGTGAAAGTTAAACAAAGTAAGGAACATATTTTATCAGGGTAACAACCATCTACCTTTTATTGAATTTGTATATCTCGCAG